CGTGAAACGGAAATCGAGAAATCCCCCCCCCCCAGGGGGGATGGCCATACTATAATCCCTTCTCCTCCATTCTCCTCCAGGGATTTTGGGCACACACACATACAAACCCAGCCTTGAGTTTCAAGCTGCTGGATCTGGGACTTGAACTGTGATTGGCCATGTAGGAGTCCAGCAATGTAACTACTAGCCCAAGAGTTAGTGTTTAACATGAAGCCAAACAATGTGGCTATTTTCAATTGTACAGAGTAGGAGTTCGCATTAGGAACTCTCTAGGAAAATGAATTTCATTCAGTATAGCTTATGGTATCTTTACTGCTTCAAATCAAAACCCTCCAAACGATGTGCCTCCCTCCCTCCCTTCTCCTCCTTTTAAAATTTTTTATCAGAGAGTGCACGAACTCACCAGATAGAAAGAGCGAGAGAGAGAGAGTGAGAAAGCACCCCCCATGGGGATGGTCACACCCCAGTCCCTTCTCCATTTTCCCTGTCTTTCAGGATTTGGGGTACACATGCTCATGTGCCTGGCATGTTTCTCAGGCTTCTGAGTCCAGGATTTGATTCACCTGGCTGGCCGTGTAGACTCCAGTTGCCTTAACCACAATATCACTAGCTAGCCCCAGAACAGCCTTTCAGTGGGAGAGACTCAGGTCTCTGTGGAATCTATGAAACAGTTAGATTGAGAGTTACTTACAAATAGTCACAATTGACGTGTAGATTCAGCATGATGGGAAGTGAGAAATAGAAAAGAAATCTGAGACTCGCTGAGCCCAGAGAGTAACGACATAGTTTCATCACTTTCCGTCTGTTTAATTCCCTCAAGTTCTTGACCCAGAATTGTCTGTGAGTTCCTTATTGATGGCATCCACACTTACTGAGGTCCATTTGTCCTTCAGTGTACCTAGCACACAGCTAGGCTCCTCATAGCTGCCACTACATGTATGGGGGGGGGTCTGTCTTTAAAAAAATGGAAGCGCTCACGCACATGCTTCTTACTTACAATGAGTGCTCAAGGAGATAGAAGCGAAGATATGCAACGTGAAGTCTGAGCTGTTTATAACATCTAGTGGCGAATACTGCTTTCAGGATGCCTGTTAGTGCTCGTCCAAGTGTCATTTTCCTTTAAACACGCTCTGATGGTTTCTGCTAGTTAACAACAAAGAGAAACTTCAAGTCAGGGAGAGGGTTGTCCTCTGGAGGTTTCAGGCCAATCGATGGTTTTTACTCTGGGTATCGACAGCTCTGTGCTGCGTGCCCTTGTCTTAGCTACGTGGCCTGACTGTTGTGGAATAGATTAGACTGCTTTTATTGCCTCTCAGGGTTTAATCAGTGCCCAGCAAGGACCCTGTGTGGTGTGCCTGTGACTTTTGTTGCCTTTTAATTGTTCAGAGAGAGGGCTATCGATGGTGTGCTCATACCTTGACTGATCAGTTTTTAAATCAGAGCTTGTGCTTCTTTGCAGGATGCCACAGTTTGGAAGCCCGATTCATGCCAGTACTGCCGTTGCCATGGTGATATCGTTATCTGCAAACCTGCTGTTTGCAGAAACCCTCAGTGTGCCTTTGAGAAGGTATGGCGTCCTAATTGTGTCCTACATGTACTGGTAAAATGAGTGAAGGGGTGGCTTTTTACATCTTTTCAGTCATCTGTTTTAACATTTATCCCCATTTCTTACTGGAAGCTTTGTGAAGTGAGAAAGAGAATTTTAACATACTGTATCTAAAAATATCCGAATTTCCATTTATTGAACATTTATTCTGGACCAGACATTCAGTTAAAGATTTTACAAATATTATCCCAGTTAATATGATAAGGTGTAGGTATCTTAATCCCTACTTCGTAGATTAAGAAAGTGAAGCCTGGAGATTTTAAGCAACTTAATCATGATCTTGTAATTAATAAATTGCTACCCACAGATTTTACACCAAGTTTGACAGATGCCAAAACTACTGATACTAACCGCAACATTTACAAAACATCAAGTGGATTCCAAGTTAGGACTAACTTCTTTTTTTTGGAGAAGTATTTGCCATAGAGTGCATGCACTCGCCAGAAAGACAGAGAGAGATAGAGAGACAGAAACTGACAGATCACTCCCCAGAGGGATGCCCACGCCTCAATCCCTTCTCCTCCGTTCTCCTCTTGGGATCTTGGGCACACATGCACATGCGCCCAGCGTGAGTTTATTCCACCAGGTCCAGGACTCGGAACTGCGGTCAACTCATGGGAGTCCAGTGACATAGCCATTACTAACTAACTGCTAGTACTCAGGACTGACCTCTTGATAATGATTTTCTAAAAACATCACTGAGGTCTACCACTGATTGCGTTATTGTACAATTATTGGGCTCCCTAGTGCAGGAGTCTGTGACTCAAGAAATTGTGCATCTGACCAAATCCATGAGTTAAAAAATTTCAGGGTCTTTTTTTTTGACACATCTATTCTGTAAGAATAATTTTTTTCCCTAGGTGCTGACTCTTTTCTTTTTACAGTGAATCTATTAAAAAAAAAGAAAGAAAAACTTAAGCTTAAAATGTGAGCATTTGAAACTCCCAGGAGAAGACCAATTATTTCCTTTTAAAAGCAGTCTATCAGTTTCACAAACACAGTTTATTTTTCTAGTTTTCTGATGCCTCTCTCCCCCATTGGAGTGAAGATATACCTTTAAGGGTATTCCTTAGTTTCTGCATGGGTTTATTTTTGAGAAGGTGAGAATATATTAAATGTTACCAAATTTGTAATGTTTTGTTGCCTATTATGGGGCTTTTCTATTTTATGGAGTAAATATGTCTAAAATAAAGATCCCAGTTTGTCTTGCTAAGCAACTCATGTCAGAATCTGGGCTGGTGACAGAAAGGCAATGAAAAAATGTCCTCCCCTATTCACATGGATAATTACAGCTGAATTAAATGTTAGAAGTCATAGATTGTATTGCTGAAAACCAAACAAGTTCTAGAACAGAGGTCAGTAGTCTAAATCTTCCCTGCTGCTTGCTTTTCTACAGCCTATAAACTAAGAAGGTTTTTTTTTTTAATATGTTTACATGGTTGAAAAACATTGAGAACATTATTTTATGATGTGAAAATGATATGAAATCAAGCGTCAGTGTTCATAAATAAAGTTTTATTGGAACACTGACACACTCATGGGTTGCAGTATTGTGCTTGTCTACTTTTGCATTGCAGTTTTAGAGTTGTGTAGTTGTGATGTACCCCCATGTGACTCCCAAAGGCTCAGATATTTATCATCTCCCCTTTAAAGAACTAGTTTCTGATCCTGCTCTTATAAAACTTGTGAATTTGTCCCTCCCTAATTCTCTAAAAATATTTTTTCATCTTAGTAAACAGCAACTCCATTCTCCTAGTTGCGCAGACCAGGAAAAAAGAAAGTCATCTTTGATTTTCCCTGTTCTCCCACATCCAGGACATTAGCAAATCCTCAGCGCTTCCTTCATAAAGCAGCACATTCCAAATGCACTTCTCTGCTCTGCCTTCTATTTTCACGTTTTGCCTGGATTCTCACAGTAGCCTCTTAACTGGTTTCCGGTTTCTGTATTTGCCTTTTTCACTGTAATCTTGATATAGCAGCTATGGTGATCCTATTAAAATTGAGGTCAGAGCATGTTACTTCTCTCCTCACATCCCTCCAGTGGCTCCCAATGACTTCTCTTCTCACTTAGAGTGACTCCTCAACAATGACCTTTAAGGAACTACTATTCTCCTCTAATTAAATTACTCTTGTACTGTTCTCTCCCTTTCTCAGTCTGCTTCACACATCAAGCCTCCTCATACTCCCTGGGTATACACGTTGATGTCTGAGATGGAACCATTTTAGTAGAAATAACAAAGTACAAAGACCTTATAGCAGAAGTGTGCCCAGGAGAAACATGAAGGGACTTCAGAAAGTTCATGGAAAAACAGAATCAAAGTATGAATTTATTGTTGTGTCGAAAAATTTTGAGATCCGTACGGTTTTTCCAAGATATGCATTTTCTATGAAGTTTTTGAAGACCCTGCATGTATCTCTCTTTCTGTGTGTTGGTCCTTTATACAGTTACTTCCGTTAAGTCTTGCCTAAATGCCATTTGATTTTAAATTGACAAATCTCCACCCCACCCTATACTTTATATCCTTTTTCCATACTTGATTTTTCTTCTTGGCACTAACTCCTATCTGACATACTATATATATTTTACTGATATTTCATGTTTACTGTGTTTTTTATTTACTATATATTCTCCACATCTACAATAGCACCTGACACATGGTAGACACTCAATAAATATTTTTTGACCGACTGAATGAATGAGAAATGAGGCTAGAAAGTTGATAAGTTCAAAGTTATGAAGAGTCTTGTCTGCTGTACTAGGGAGCTTGGAATTTTATTTTTTAAATGATAGAATATTAATGAAGATTTCAAGCATTATGATGAAATGGTCAGCTTTTCTTTCAGAAAGGTCTTACTGGTACAAAGATAATGCAAGATAAAAGAAATGAGAGGATCAGTTCAGCGTCTGTGAAACTATTTCAGATGAATGAATGAATACCTGAATTAGAGCACTGGGATCAAGAGCAAAGTACAGGTTTCATATATATTTGGAGGACAAATCAGCAGAACTGATTGAAGATAGGAGGATGAGGAAAAAGAAGTGGAGAAATGGCTTCCATATCTATGGCTTTATGACTTAGGTGGTTATTAGAATCACCAGCTGATATTGAGCAGCCCATCTGGAGAAATATACCTGATTATTTCAGTGTGGGACACATTGAGTTTGAAGTGTGCAGGGAAGAGCCAGGAGGATATGTTCAAAAGGCAGCTGGATACAGTATAGGAGTCTAGAGCTTTATAGTATAGGAGTCTAGAGCTTAGAGAGGACAGGCCTGGAGAACCGTGTGGGTGTCATCAGCAGAGAGACAGTAGTGCAACGGTTTAATGATATCATCCACAGATAGGTGATAAACAAGTGCAAGACCAAAGATGGAGTTTGAGGAACAGTCATTTAAGTGGAGGTGAACATCAGTGAGGAGCTTACGAAGATTAAGAAGGCATTGTCAGAGAGGTGAAAGGTTTGAAGGGGTCGAACAAGAGCACTGTGTTATGATCACCAGAACTTCCAGAAAGTCTGTGTTGACAGTGTTGATCACAGTTAAGGGAATAAGTAAGGGAAGGATTTCATATGATCCATTGGATTTGGCAAAGTATGAGCCCCTGGTGGCCACACCAAGGTTGGTGTCCGTGGAGTGGTGAGAATTGAATTGTGTTGCAGAGGTTTGAGGAGTGATTCAAAGTAAGGAAAGGAATGCGAAGTAAAAGATATTGCCTTACTGGGAGTACAAGGAGCAAATTAGGACATTGGGTAGACAACATAGAACTGTGTAGTTTCTTTGACTCTCCCCTTCCCAACCTTCAAGTCCTCCTGTGTGCTTTGTGTTTACTTGTACAATACCCCTTGTCTAGACAGCAAATGCTTTTTTACTTGTCTGCTTCTTTCTCCAGTCTCTTAGCTCCTCAAGGGCAGGACTCTTGTCTGCTTCACTGTTGCAACTCATCAGACAGCACAGCGCATGCACCCAGAGAACACTCCGTTAGTATTTGTAGAATGGCCACGCAAGGGAAAGGAGGGGGTTTTGCTTTTTAGTTTTGTTACTAACATGAGAAAGACATGATCACCTTAGGAGGGAAAGAAGAATGATCCAACTTAGAGAAACTGAAGCTAGGAGGCTGTGGGAGAAGAGAAGGGATGGGGCAAATGAATGGTTTCTGGAGACGAACAGAGTATGGGAGGTGGAGCACAGGATGAGTCTTGGGTATAAGGGACAATCTAATTCTCTAAGAATGGAAAGCAAAAGTTATTGATGGATACAAAGATAGTTAACTTTGTGGGTAAGAAAAGGGGCAGGATACAGAAGTAGTTTATACCAAATGAGACTTTGAAATTCAGTTGGGGGAACCAGCAGTTATGTCGCTGGACTCCCACGTAGTTGACCGCAGTTCACTTCCCGGACCCGGTGGCTTAAAACTCACGCCAGGCGCGTGTGCATGCGTGCCCACCCAAGATCCTGAGAGGAGAATGGAGGAGAAGGGATTGCGGCGTGACCGTCCCCTCTGGGGGGTGATTTCTTGCTTTCTGTCTCTATGTCTCTCTCTGTCTGTCTGGCGAGTGCACCCGCCCTATAGTGAAAACCTTTCAAAAAAACAAAAAAAGAAAAATTCAGTTGGGGATTCACTGAGGGGAGAGAAAGGGACTGACCAAAGTCAAGGTAAAGCCTTTGTTAAGGATCTGTGGGAGCAGAAGACCATGAACTGCGGGGGTACCAAGCTGCATGGTATTCTCATCAGTACTTACCTGTCAAGTATAAAAGAAGATAAAGCAAGTTATGGGCTAGATCCAGAACTGAGACTTACTCATGCTCATAAAGTAGAAGGACAGAGATGCAGGAAGTGGTGGGTGTTGAGGCTAACAGGAATTGGAAATTGAGGCCAGCTGAATGGCTACAAGGAAATAAGGGCTCAAGGACATCTTTGAAGGAAATGTGAAGATGAGTGGGAATGAGAGTGAACTGGAGCTGAAGTCTAGGAGGCTCAGTTTCAGAGAGTTGAAGATTTTTGGTGTACAGTAGTTTGGAGTGTGGACAGGACTGAGGGTTCATATGGCTGTGGGGAGCTCAAGTGAAGTAGAGGTGAGGGTTGCTTGAATCAAGGTGGCTCTGAGTATGTATCCTCAAGGATAGAATGTTGGACTGGGCAAATTCATGGACACTGAAGTTGTCCAGAATGATGTCTAGGCATAGGGTAGAAAGTACTCATAGGATTTAGAACCTTGAATATTTTACCAGTCCTTTCACAACCAGTCCTCTCTTTAGGGATTTCTGGAGAAATCTATGCACAGATGACAATGTCATGCAAAGGAGCACTGTGTTACTTGGTGGGGTTTTGTCTGCAAACCTTAACACAGATAATAATAAGATATACCCAGTAAAGTTGTGAGAATTAAACTCTCACCCTCTCTGCACATACACAAATGCGCACATACACATACACATGCACATGCACGCACACATACATATACAAGTGGTCTTCCAAAAAGTTCATAGAAGATGAATATTATGAAAAAACTATAAATGGATTCTTTTTTTTTTTTTACTAAAATAAACTCATACTTCAGTACCATTTTCTGAACTTCTCCTGTGTGCACACATGCATGCATGTGTGGGTGTTTGTCTAGAAGAGTATGTGGCTGTTATAAGCACTCAGTAAGTATGAGCTATGATTATCAACTTATCATTATTATAGTTTGTTGGTTCATCTAGATCCTGAGCTAGAATCTCGCCCAGCTCCCTTGGCCATCTTCACTGATGTCTCTTGCCCATGTGGTCACTTTTCAGTGTTTCCCAGTGCAAAGCCTAGAGGAGCCAGGGCCTGTGTGCTCCATATCACAGTAGCTCTCCAAACCATTCAGAGTTACATGGGTGGGGGCAGAAACTCCCTGTTTCTCAATCTCCAAACACCTGCCTGCAAAATTATTTGCTGTTCCTTTAGCTTAGCTCTTTCTGTCCCACCAGAAGTTTAATAAATCAGCCAAGGTCCCTTCCATCACTCACTATCACTCATGAATAAAGAATATTATATTCGTACATTTAGTTTTGGGAGCCAAGTATGAAAATTAATTTGTATATAAAACAAAACGAATTTGGGTACATGAAATATCCCTTGAAGTTTTCTATTCTATCTGCCTTTCTTCCTGGCCCTCTGCTTCCATGTTAGAATATAAACAACACTTGGATTATCTCATTTTCTATCTGTATGAAATTCTTGGTGGAAATTAGGCTAAGATGGTTTCTGTTAGTGTCTTAGTAGAAATTAGACAAGTGTAATTTTTTCTTGGGTTCAGAGGGCACTTGTCTGAAAAGTCATTAATGTTGCAGTGTATGTGCATATCATGTAAGTTTCATCTTTTATCAAGCAAATAAGAATTTGGTGATTGTTTATTGATAAATTTATTATTTAGTGGATTATATTTAGTTGTAAAGTATTGATTCCATTTCCCATCTACTCTTGTGGATATAGTTATATAAAATTAGAATTCTCTTGTACATGCAATTTTTTTTTTAATAGAAGCAAACAAAATAACAAGAGAACATTTATACACACATGCACACACACACACACAATTTTTTTTTTCATTCTACTGGGTGAATTCTTTGTAGACTTTTATCCAGTCATGATTTCCAGCCTAATGCAGAGTCTCCTGCTACTTTTGGTCAAAATTGTTTATTTCCTGTTTGGCCACATTGTCTAGACTTGGGAAAAATCCTGAAGTCTGTAACGTGAGTAAGAGGGTCTAACAGGAGAATCACCTCACCGAGCCCAAAGACCAACTTTGCTCTTTGCTCTGTATTTTAATAATTTGTACATTATCAGATTCTTCACAGTTGCAAATAGGCAATTAGTTAACATTTGACAACTCCTCACTAATCCTGGGGTATCAGATGGTAGCCCATTCTCTTAATGGTATCAAGAAACACAACTGCAATTATAGAAACTTTGAAAAGCAATGTAGCTCTTTAATGAAGCTCACACCATATGCATATGTGACACCTCACCCCAAAAAGGCTTCCTGTCCCTACTTTGTCCTCAGCCTCCTGCCCCATGTGCTTTGCCTCCTGCGTCTCTGGTAAAAGTTAACCAGCAGGACCTCCCCTCCTCTCTGCTGGCTCTCCTGTGTGTCTCTAAGATACCTAGAAAACCTGTCCTTTTTACGGTCAACCCCCACCTGTCTTCTTTCTCTTCCCACCTGAGAGAAACTGCTTAGCTTATGTGACCCTCAGGTAGAGCATTTCCAGTGAAAAAAATCTTAACTTCATTAGATGTACAAAGATGCAGATATTGTTTTCAAAGAAATTCATTTCACAAGGGGGTTGATTTCATTTTGTCTATGAGCTCATCTTGCCAGAGAGAATCCTTTCATTGTATCTGTTTATTTTTGTCACCCCTGGAAACTCATGAGATTTAGTGGGTTTGATGAGCCATTGTGACTGTGTGTGCTACTGCTGTTTTACACTCAGCTGCTCTCAAATGCTCAGGGAGAAGTACTCCAAATAGCTGCCAACCAGTGCTGCCCTGAGTGCGTGTCGAGGACTCCTGGATCTTGCCATCATGAAAACAAAATCCACGAGGTAAGTGTTTTCTGACCCCAGGATGATTCTCTGTCTGTAGATCATTGACAAGGAAGAGCAGAATGTTAAACTCGTGTTGACAGGAGAAGCATTTTTTCTTTGCTTGGGCTATGGAGGACCTGTTGCTCATTTGACTTTCTGTGGGCATTTAGAGTTCTTAAATATGATTGAAAGTTTCTTTTTATTTCACAGGGCCTATGTAAGTATTTGTAGGTTGAATTTATGTCTGTATAAATAGCAGTCTGAGAATATTGAAGAAGTGTGATGATGAATAATAAAATAAAAAAAGGACTTCCTTACCTCCCTTTTGTGTACTGTATGCATTTTTTCACTTGGTACTTAAAAACAGCCCTCACTTGGTGAGTAGAGCAGCTATTATTACTTCCATGCCAAAGATGAAAACAATGAATTGCAAAGAGCTTAAGGTACTTACCCAATGTCATATTACTAGTATGCGATATGACTTGGCCTAGAACCTTTCCAATTTAGAGCTCTTTTTTTTTTTTTTGAAAAGTTTTTGTTATAGGACGCCTGCACTTGCCAGAAACAGAGAGACAGAAAGCAAGAAATCACCCCCAGAGGGGATAGCCATGCTGCAATCCCTTCTCCTCCATTCTCCTCTTGGGATCTTGGGCACGCTTGCACATGTGCTCGGTGTCAGTTAAAGCCACCAGGTCCGGGACTTAATCCGCGGTCGACTACATGGGAGTCCGATGACATAGCCATTACGCCAACTGCTAGTCCCCAGAGCTTTTTTTTTTATTAGGGTAGACTGTCTCAAGTTCAGTACTAATAACATTTAGGCTTTGGTGTGGGGGCTGTTTTATGCATTGCAGGGTGTGTAGCAGCATCGATGGCCTCTAGCCGTTAGATGTTGGTAGCTCCCCCTAGTCATGACAAACCAGAAATGTCTGCAGACAGGGCCCGATTTCCCCTAGGAGGCAAAACATTCTCCTTCACCCCCATCTAAGTTTTTATTTTTTTCTTTTTAATTATACTTTCTTATTCCAGATCCTTTAGGATTAATTTAGAGATATTAAATATAGATTTAAAATACCATTGCAAGGTTTATAGTAGAAATGATGAAAATAGGCAGTTAATCTCCACTCTTAGTTAAATGTTACGCTGAGGAAGTAAGCGAGGTTGAATATGATGAAAAGTTCTTCCACCTGAGACAAAACTTTCCCTAAGTTAGTGTCTCTACCCATTCAGAAGAGAGCATAGGTTAGCAGGATTTGATATGTCCACCCTATTCAGCGTGTGGAGTGAAAAGTAAGCAAGTGTAGCACTCACTTCCCTGTGGGACAGGATCATCTTACTCAAGCTCTGTTTCCTAATTGCACGAGGAAGCCACTCTTTCACTCCTGCACAATGTGTGGCTGAAAGACGCCTGAGCAGGATCTCCGCTGAGAATGTCTTCATGCACGTATCACCAGGTGCTGCTTCACTCAGTCTCTTACGTAGGATGGTGTCAACTTTAAATGCAACAAAAGAAGGTCCCTGTGAAGTGGATAGTGCTGCCGGGCAGATTGCTAGTGGAAATAATGCCAATTCATACTGACTGGAGTAGGTGTATATTCAAGGTGAAAAACACCAAGCTGCATCTTTTCAATAAATAATAGTTCCTTTACTATTAGGATCCAAAATGAGGTCAGGACTTGGGTTAAAAACAGATGTCTTAGTAAGAGGTAGAACGAGAGACAAAGTAAATTAGCATCCAGTAAGTGTTTGAATCTTCTCTCTCAAGATGCCTGAGGACTTTGACTTTTTTTTTTTTTTATTGATTTATCTTTATAATGATCTCCTTTGCCTTTTACCTACCCTGGCACTTAGCACTGAGGTTTTGTGAGAGTAGGTGCTCAATAAACCTTGGTGAATGACATACTCAAACAGTTAGCAGATCTGCTCTCCAGGTTGTCCATGTCCTCATCCCAAGGGTATGTTGGGCACTGACCTTGTGGCTAAGTATATCTGGAACCACAGATCTTCTGGAGGTTAGTTAGAAATCCCCTCGTCATCTCACATTTGCTGGGAGAGCTCAGCAAGTCCTTCTTCTGGTCTTCCTCCTCCCTGGCAGTTCATTTCTGCAGTAATGCATCATGTAGAAGGCTCCAAGCTGGGTAAGAACATTCCCATGTACTGTTTTCCCATATGCAACAAAATTCGATCCTTCAGAAAATGTTATATTTCTAGCACTTGAATTAACTGAGAAAAAGACTGAATTTCAAGAACTCTATCTCTTTTTTTGGGGAAAAAAACTTTAGTGGTTTGCTTCCTCAAGTAGAGTTAGAAGATTAATTTTTAAGTTGAGACAAAAATCTTCTCATTTTCATATTAATAATGAATTAAAATGATGTTTCTTCCTGTCCTTCTTCTCTTTCTCTCTTCACTTCGCTTGGTTTCTTATCAAATCCCTCTTTGTATCGTTCATTTTCTCAAGTGTGGTAAATGCTTTTCTGGCTCTGTCTTGAGTTTCACTTCTTCACTTGCTTCATGAGGATTTTCCTGAAATTTTCAACCCTTTCTTTTTTGTGCTTTCAGTTTGTTTGGGAAGTAGTTTTCAGAATACATTCCTCCCCTGCAGAAAAGCAGTAATCCTCTCTTTTTAGCCTCTGGCTCACGTCCCATAGGGCAGGTTATGAAGACTTTCCCAGCAGCTGTAAAATAGCCTGGTGTTTTAAGAACATTGGGAGGGTGATTCGCAGTGGAAGCTTTCCCCTAAGAGAGATTTAGAAGAGGCTTTAGGGTAGACTGGGTGTGGCCGGAGGGAAACAGCTGAAATAATACTGTCCTTAAGCAAGACAAGTCAAGGATGAGTTGAGCCCAGGACTGCATGAGAAGGCTGCCCTCGCAGAACAGCCGCGCCTCACTAGAGAGTAAGGCAGGATCTTGTATAACCTATGCCTCAGCAAGTTGAGACAAGTCTCAGGCTCTTTCCCGGAGGAAGGAAAACACTTAAACCTTTTGGCTGACTCTAGGTTATTTTAGAGTGTTGCATTGGTTTCTTACAACCAGGATTTGGGGGCTGTTTTACCTATGACTTTTCCTGAAACTGTACTTTCAGGTTCACCTTTGTATCTGCATCTAGCCTTGCCAACGAGCCAGGGAGACATGTCTCCAATGTGTTCTACTAATAGTTGTTTGAATCTCCCTAGGGAGTGATGGGCCAGGAGTGGAACAGGAGGAAAAAATTAGCTTGTGAAAGGAAGGGTAAAGGACCATTAGTTTCTTTCTTTTCCTTTTACCTAATTTAATCTCAGCACCAGATAATGTCAAATCTGAAGACAATGCTTGAAGGTTCACTGCAAAATAAAATGGCAGATGGTAATGCCTTGTTGAACAGAAGAACGGGGGAGAGGTCTACTCACTTTGCCTGTGAGGCTGAAAGAACTCATCTGTGTGTGTGAGGGAAGAAATGAATATTGAATTCTGCAGCCTTGTTCTCCTCAAAGGAGAGGATATAATTATAATGTGCACTGAACATTCCCAGATATTTAGTATTCTGGTTCTATAACTTCCTAACAGGAACAAATTATATGAAGAAAAATTATTTTTTTGTTCTGTCAGTAAGCCAGGCAAATGCTTTATGACCTTATCTTTCCTTTGGACTTATGTCAACAGCCAAGCCAACTTATTAGTTGACTATGCAGAAGCATATATTTAAGATGTTGTCTATAGAATTCACTTTTGCCTAGTGTCAAAATTTCATGTTTTCAAAGGAGTATTAATGAGGTTAAGATGGCACAGCTAAAACCGGGTCTTGTGGGAACATTGCTTTGTGCATCTATTATTCCTTTCTTTGCTGCTACAATGTGTTTATTAAAATATAATGCATTCGAAAATGGGTATGTAGAACACTATGAAATACACATATACACATACTCACACATACATACACACATATCTTAGCATGTGCTGGACTACTTGATCTCCGAGATGGATGCTTTTCAAGCGTGGTCAATCCTCACAACACTCTGGGGATGAAGGTGTCAGTGTTTTCAGCCACAGGAGTAGGAGGCAAAAATGGAGGCTCTCAGGGCCAGCAGGTGGCATAGTGGTTAAGGCACTGAACTCACATGTGGTCAACTGCGGTTCAAGTCCTGGACCTGGTGGTTTGAAACTCATGCTAGGTGTGTATGCATGCCTGCCCATGATCCTGAGAGGAGAATGGAGAAGGGGTTATGGCATGGTCATCCACCCTAGGGGGTGATTTCTTGCTTCCTGTCTCCTTGTCTCTTTTTCTCTGGCTAGTGCACGTGCCCTATAGCAAAAATCTCTCTCTCAAAAAAATGGAGGGTCTTTAGAGACTTGTTCCCTTGAGATATGGCAGTAATTCCTCCCATCATGCTGTGCACTTTGGGTAACCATGTGAAGCTTCCTCTGTGGCTTTCATCTCAAGCAATGGAATCTCCCTGCTAAATGTTCTCTGTTAGTCCCATAATTTTCAAACTTATTGTGAAGGGAGATTCCATTGCTTTATGTCTCTTGGGTTAGAAAATAGAGTCACATGTTCTGAGAGCTTGAAGGTGCCAAAGACACTGTCTAGTATAGCCCTTTCATTTTACAGGCAAAAACCTTTGGTGATTGACGTATTGTTATTATAATTAATTTTTGTGGTCTTTATTCAAAAAGTGGTTGCAATTGTTTTAGAAATGATCATGTTTCTTTACTTTTTTTTAGGGTTTTGCAATAGAATGGGTATGCTCACTGGAAAGAGATAGAGAGAGACAGTGAGAGGAAAAGTGAGAAAACACCCCCCCAGGGTCAGAGGGTGGGGGCATGGAATGGCCGTGCCACTCTCCTCTACTCTCCTCTTGGGATTTTCGTCATGCGTGCACACACACTTGAGATGATTTTCAAGTTGCCAGGTCTGGGACTTGAACCATGGTTGACCATGTGGAAATCAAGTGCCTTAACCGCTATGCTACCTGCACGCTCCCATTTTTCTTAATAGTAACAAAAACAAGCTCTTGTTTTAATGAAGTATGCTGTTGAGATGT